AGAGGCTCGGCAGAGCCGCCGGCAAGCACCCGGGGCTAGCAAGGAAGCCGCCGCTGCACCCCCGATCCGAGGTCCCGTCCCGTCCCCTCCTGCGGCCATCGCTTCCCTGCCACAGCCAGCCGTGGGGAGGGGGGCCGTCTTCTCAGACCTGGGACTGCAGCCACAGGCGAGGGTCAAAGGTCGGGTGGGCCTGGGGGCGCGGGGGCCGGGCGGGCTCCGGGGTGGGGCTGCCGCTGCTGGAGGAGCCGGAGCTGGAGTGGGAAGGGCCCCGGGTCCAATCGAGGGGCGGCCGGCCGGAGCGTCCGTTCAAGGTGCTGAGCTTGGCGTCCAGAGAGAGGGTGCGAGGCCGCCCCCAGGGGGGGCGCAGCGGGCGTGGGCTGGCACTGGAGTTGCTGTCGCTGTCCGAAGCCATGGCGGCGGCGGGGGCGGGAGGGGACCCTGGCCCCCCCTCAAAGAGGGACAGCCAGGCGGGGCTGCCCAGGCCCGACAACCGGCGCGCCAGGATGTCCGTCACGGCCTCGATGTCGTCCGCTGGCTCAATAGCTGGAGGGGACAGGGGGGGAGGGGGGTGAGCAGCCCGTGCACTGGAGGGCCTGCCACGCCTGACTTCCGGAGGCCGCTGTGGGGCCACGAGAGCTCCCCCGCACCAATCAGGGCACCCACAGGAAACCGGCCCCATCTGCTCACAGTCGCATCACTCAGGCAGCTCGTACCGAACCCTCCCCCCCTCCAATGGGGGGGGAGGCTGGGAGTTCTGGGTTACCTGCCCCCACCCCCCTTCCCCACGGAACAGGCCCTCCTGCCCTCTTAGCCGGAACTGCTCCCTGCATCCCCCCCCCAGCCCCAGTTGGGGGGGGGGGTGGCCCGGCCTCCCCCTCCAGCCGAGTTACGTCACCTGTCACTGTAATAGGAGGAGAGCAGAGTGCGGATCTCCGCAGAGACAGCGTTGTCCTGCAACAGAAGCCCCTCGCAGGCGGAGGGCAGCCCCCCGGGGCCAGGGAGAGCTGGGGGGCGGGGCGGGACAGAGAGGGAGAGACAGAGAGGGGAAACATGCAGAGAGAAAGCAGGAGGAGAGGACAGAGTTACAGACACGTAATAGATCCAGACGGCAGGTGCCGGAGAGAGATGCAGAGCGGGGCCTGGGGAGGTGGGAGAGCAAGACAGAGCCCCAGAAGAAGGGGCAGGACACAGAGAGCCCTGCCGAGCCAGCCGTGCGTCTTCTTCCGAGAAATGCCGGATGCCCAGATGTCGCTGCCGCCCTGGAGGGCCAGCTTTGTTGGGTTCGCTCCCTCCCCTGCCCGGGCAAGAGTTCCTCCAACACGGAGGGTTGAGTGCTGATCTCAGTCGCTGCCTGCCGTGGGAAAGGCCCCCCCCCCTCGGGACAGCCGAGAGGGTGTCCTGCAGTGGGGAGGGGGGGACAGGTGTCCCCCCCAAGGGCCTGTGTGTGTGGGGGGGGTGTTCAGATGAGGCGCTTCCAGCATCAGAAGGCGCCCCCATTCATCTCCGGGCTGGGAAAGGGAGTCCCGCCTGGGCCTGTTGCTGGCTTCCTTTAAGAGACCTTTGAATGCTGCCAATGGGTGGGTGAGGCCTCAGCTTCCCCTGCCAAGGGACCCAGTCGCTGTGCCGGACCAGGCCTCCTGCCACAGACCCTCCCTCGCTTGTGCCAGGCTCCCGATCCCACCTCTCCTCCCGAGCGGGCGGGCACTTTCCCTTGGAGGGCTCCCTGCCCCCCACTTACCCGTCTCGTGGTACAAAGAACCCTGCTTGGGCAGCTGGGCAGTGGGCCGGCGTGGGGAAGGGACCTCCACCTTCATCAGTTCATCGCAGCAGTGCTTCCACTGGCCTGGGGGGGGGAGGAAGAGGGAGGGGGAGTTAGCTGGACCCCAGCTGGGTCCGGGGGTGCTTTACTGCCATCTTGTGGCCACCCAAGAGGACCCACAAGAACCCTTCTGGCTGCCCCCCCCACCCCCTCCGCACGCATTTGGCTTCCCTTGACTCTCTGCTACATGCCTTTGGCCGGACTCTCTGCAGTGGAACCCCGAGAGCTCCAGAGGAGCCCAGCCCCCTCCTCCCCGTCCAAACCACCTAAGCCGGTGGGACTGCAGGACACAGCCCATGCTCCCTCTGAGCTGTGGCGTCTTGCGAGCAAAAATCCTACAACGTGAGCTCCTGGCCTTGAAGTTGTGTGCAGGCGATTTGGCTCCTGCGTAGATTAGTTTGCTCTGGAGCCCTGTCCTTCCTGTGCGGAGGCAAAAATGTCCGAGGAGGCTCCCTCAGCGTAGAGGGAACACTGGGGACAAGACTGCCGTGCGGGCCGGAGGGTCAAGCGTGCCGAGGGTCAGCTTGGGGGGAAGCTCTCAACCCCACTGCCGGCTGGACGCGGGAAGGGGCTCTGCCCCAGCTCTCCTCGGCTGAGAGAAACGGCGTGTCTCGCTCGTCC